CTTCCCTTGTACTCGGCCTTGGTGAGGCCGCAGCTGGAGTACTGCGTCCAGTTTTGGGCTCCACAATTCAAAAAGGATGTGGAGAAGCTTGAGAGAGTCCAGAGAAGAGCCACGCGCATGATCAGAGGTCAGGGAAGCAGACCCTACAATGACAGGCTGAGAGCCCTGGGGCTCTTTAGCCTGAAAAAGCGCAGGCTCAGGGGTGATCTGATGGCCACCTACAAGTTTATCAGGGGTGACCACCAGCATCTGGGGGAACGTTTGTTCACCAGAGCGCCCCAAGGGATGACGAGGTCGAATGGTCACAAACTACTACAAGACCGTTTCAGGCTGGACATAAGGAAGAACTTCTTTACTGTCCGAGCCCCCAAGGTCTGGAACAGCCTGCCACCAGAGGTGGTTCAAGCGCCTTCATTGAACACCTTCAAGATGAAACTGGATGCTTATCTTGCTGGGATCCTATGACCCCAGCTGACTTCCTGCCCTTTGGGCAGGGGGCTGGACTCGATGATCTTCCAAGGTCCCTTCCAGCCCTAATGTCTATGAAACCTATGAAATTTAGAGAAGCTGTGAAATCTCCATCCCTGGAGATTTTTAAGAGTGAGTTAGACAGACACTTGTCTGGGATGGGTTAGTCAGGGATGATCAGGAGGCTGGACTAAATGACCTCATGAGGCCCCCTCCATCCCTATGATGTTGTGAACCCAACCTCTCTGAATTTACAAACCCCTGCTTCTTCTACTTGTTCTGCTGCTTAGGTCCAAACACCCCTGAAGCCATGAAAATCTTTCCATTGACTTCATTAAGTTTGAAGCTGGCCCTGGGTCCCCACCTATCATCATAGCTTCACCTCTCCATGCTGCTCACTCCTGTCTTGGTTTCTTCCCAGTTCCCCTCCCATAACTCTCTGCTGTTAAGTATTACTTAACCATTTCTGTTGACTTAGCTGCCTACATGTGTTTTATTTCCTGCAACTCAATTTCTTTTCTCCTCCATAAATCTTGCCATAAAATTCCCTTGCCTCTGTCCTATGAGAGACTTTGGACTCTTTTTCTCTCTCACTGTATGATGGGCTCCTTGCATGGCACTCTGAGAAATTATCTTGGCCACAATGTTCTCCCCTACCCCAGCTGTGGGCTGTGTCCTGGTTGGCTGGTTGCTTCTTATCCAAACATCTCTGTATTTCAGGTGTGCTACATGTCTATGTAGCACTCAGGGGTCCTGTAGGGAAGGAAGTTGCTGAAGTACTATGAGAATACACCCCAAGGAAAAGAAATTCTGTGTGTTTTTTGATGACTTTTCTTCCACATCTCGCCCAGGTTACACACTCCTTCACTGTACTGCCGCATGGGGACAACTAGAAACTTTGAAAATTCTGGTAGAACTGGGAGCTGATATTGTAGCAACCGCTTTCTGAGGTGAAAAGGCCCGAGATATTGCCTGCCGCTATGGCCAGGCTGAGTGCGTCGACTTCCTGGACTGGTCAGGTGAGAGAGAAACTCCTGAGATGCACAGCTGTACAGATGAGGTTTGGATTGCCAAAGGGACATACATCTTAAGCTGGTGGAAGTCATCCAAGCATCACTTGAATCATTGAAGTAAGGAGGATTTACATCAGCTAAGGATCTAGCCCTAGGAATTGCAAATGTTGTGCTGTTCAGGTCATTAGGCCCTTCAGCTAGTGAGGCCAGATGTTCATGTGTGACACTGTGGGTGGACCATGGGTAGCTAGTTGACCGGATTGTGTAAACCCTAAGGAAACTCTTCATGAAGTGGAAAAATCAGGAAATTTCCTGATCCTGCCAGTGATCAGAGAGAAGGGGTGAAGCGGATTCTTACTGGTGTGGCTCCTTGACACGTGGGCTGGTCATGGACCTGTTTGGTCTCTGGGGCAACTTAGCACAGTCTAAGAACTGCTCTGTTATACCTGACAGGTGCTGCCCTGAGGGTCTGTTCTGGTTCTGGGAGCTAAGGTTCACTGTAGTCCTACATTGCCCCCTTTCCTTTGGCCACTTGGAACATGCTCTGAAGCAAGAAAAAGGTGCTACTCCAGCTCTGTGCTACACTGGCACTTGCCTTTTGCCAGGGGAGCCACAGCGAACTGAATACACCAGCCACTGAGCTGCATCACATCAGTAGTGTGGCTCAGTACTGTTGGAGTGTAGAGGAAAATGGGGACCTTTCCTGCCAAAAACAATGTTATTTCATTGATGCTCCAAATTCAAGCCACCCTCCCCAGAGTTTTCAAACATTTGTTTTTAATTAGGCCATTTAGTTTCCCCTCCTCCCGCTCCACTCTTTCATGACGGAATTCAACTTTACATTTGTCATCATTAGATGAGCAGTTCAAACACACAGCCATTGATTTCTACTTGGCAGTACTACTGACTTTCTTAAGAACATCTTCGTAAAGAATATGGAAAATAATTATCAGAGCACAAAAATATGATTTTTAGAGAAGGAGGGGCCCTTCTTCCCATTACATTTCCTGCATCACAGTATCCACATTGGAGCAGTGGCCATACGGACAAGTAGTGACGATTTCTTCATCAACCTTGGTTTCTTTCACCTTTCTCTTTTTATTGAGTGGTGGGGCTTCTTTACTCTCATGGTGGCAGACATGCTTCAGGTATTTCAGCATCATGGATGTATTTGCCACCAATCTCCACAGCATTTCGTCCACATTGGAGGTGTGTTCACTATGGAATTCTGTTCCAACCGAAACTGTGGAGGTCTGACTTACTACCTGGAAAGACAGAGCCCATAACATGGGGAATGCAATTCTTTTGTTCCTAGAGTCACAAACCACCAGAATAGATTTCATTCTTATTTCAAAATTCAAGTGTCAGTGGACCAAACCTTCAACTAGTGTAAATCAGCTCCATTGACAGTTACAATGATTTACCTGATGGAGCTACTTTGGTTTATGCCAGCCTTAGGCCCTGGCCCAGACTCTTTATTTCCACAGGTTTGTTCTGTTCAATTTCTTGTAAAGAAAATCTCCTTTTTGCCCTTCTATTCTAGTGGGAACTCCCACCAGTTTTATGTTTGCAGGTAAAGTGTTTGAACATTTCCCCATTGCCCATTCTGGGGTTTAAACCAGTCTCTAATATTCAGGAGCTAAAAGGAGAACTTCATGGCAGCAGCTCCCAGGACATGTATGGGCTTATAGTGGGATTTGCATAGAAAGCAAGGAAGAGTCAGGGGGAGAGCTTGAATCTCTTCATTTTTGGCAACTGGACTGTTTATTTGGATGTCCAAATAGGGATTTAGGAATGTTGCTCACAGGTCTTAATTCTAAAGAATCTCCAGTGCTATGCTCTAATCCAGGAGCAGTCACCCCCTGACTTGTGGGCTAGATCCAGGCTACAGTGCCATGTCATCCAGCTCGTTGGGCTCCCCACAGATCTGGTAATTTGGCAGTGTGAGGGGAAAAGGAGGCAGTGGCACTGATTCCCTGCTGCCAGATTTCCAGAACCATGGGTAGCCCCAGGCCCTGAGTGCTGCATCAGGTGCTTAATCCCAGTGTGCAGGACTGGGCAGGGTTACTGCCAGGTCTCATAGACAAATCCTGGTATGCAAGAAGCAGTGCCAGGGCCTTGGGACCCAATCCTGGTGTGACGGGACTGAAGGGGACAGCTCCAATATCCTGAGATTCTATCCCAGGGTGTAGGGATGGGGGAGGTGATGCCAGGCTCCTGAGGTCCCAATCCTGGTTCACGGAGCAGAGGAGGCAACTCCTGGCCTCTGGAGCCCAATCCCAGCCTGCAGGAGTGGAGGGGGTAATGCCAAGCTCCAGGGGCCCAGTCCTAGCATGGGTGGGTTGGGGTGGTGGTGCCAAGCAGTTAGGGCCCAATCTCAGCATGAAAGGGTTGAGGGGATGGTGCCAAGCTCTCAGTGCCTAGACCTAGTGAATGGGGATGGGAAGAGGCAGTGCCAGGCTCCAGGATCCAATTCTGGTTTGTAGGGCTCAATCTGGGCTACAGATCAGCCCCACACCACTCATATACCTGTGGGACCAAAAGGTTGAGCACCACTATTCTAAAAACCTGGGACAGGCATGTTCAACTTTTGGCCCATGGACCAGATGTGGCCCATGGAGCTTTGGCATCCGGCTCGTGGGACTTGCCACAGTTGGGAAATGTGGTGGCAGGGGCGCAGTGGCAATAAGGCCACCCTTCCCTGCTTCTGAATTCCCAAGCCCCTGCAGTGGGTCAGATCCAGGCAATACTCCCTTCCCTTGTGGCCTGAACCATGCCTTCTTCCCCAGCAAGGGCCTGGGCCACGCCCCCTTCCTCTGCATAGCTCCACCCCCATCCCTGTGGCCAGATGGGGCCCCGCCATACCTGCACTGGGTGCCAGATTAGGAACACTAGCTGGATCCAACCCACATATTGACTGGGCACTGCCAATCCAGCCTACTAGGCAAAAATGTTGCGGTCCACTGAGCTAAGACCTTTTGAGTTCAGTAATGGACATCACTTACTTTGGGCATCACATCACTCCTTTGATGTCTCCTCCATTTGATCCAAAGATAACATACAGATAAGGAGCACAGGAGGTAAAGAACCACTTTGCAGCTAATACACAGGATATCCAGGCATTCTTTGGTTATTTCCAGGCTGGTAAAGTAAAAAGACAGTTGGTCCAAAGGGTAGGGCAGGCAAGTAGACATAAACTGTATTCCAAGCTCCATTTGTTTCAGATCCTCTGGAAGAATATCCGTGCCAACTCTCCTCCAGTTTGGGCGACCACAGATGCAAAGGCTGTTCTGGAACAAGAAGACAGCCCAGAGAGAAAAACCCAGGAAGAAACTTCTAATAAGCATTGTCTTGCTTTTTAAGCAGAAAAGACTCCAGAGATTTAGTTTCCACATACCAAGTGCAGCCAGAGATCCAGCAGCAAGTGGCCTTGAAAGTTCATACTGTATTGCCTTGGGTGTATTTCGAGCAAAGTAACCCCTCTATCATGGCATTTAGTCAATGAGGCCACACTGTAGTCCTGAGTGCCAGAGTAGTTGTAAGCTGGTGGTCTCACCAGCTGTGGGTGTATTTCAGAATAGGTACTATGATGTCATAAGGAACTTAAAGCTTTTCTCAGTGGACGAGGTAAGGAGTTAAAGATACAATAACCTAACGTGGTCTAGTAACTAGAGTGGGGCATGGGGAGTTAGGAAAACTGATTTCTAATCCTGACAGTGCCACTGGTTTAACTTCTCTGTACCTCGGTTTGCCAATCTCTAAAGTGGGGATAACATCAACCCCTTGTGTATGGTGCTTTGAAATCCTCAGGTGGATGGGGCTACGTAAGTTGAAAGTAGTATTAAAACAATGGCCTGGTTTGTCAGTTACAGTATTACCTTATATTGGGAAGTGGGACCAGCAGTTCCACTTACGAAATCAGAGAACATGGCAATCTGGTCTCATTAAGAACTTTGCTTTGAACCCTTTGCTCAATTGAGCAAACCTACTGAAGTCGGTTTCTTGTGTGAATACTTTCTGCCTGCTGTGAACAATGGGATTCATCCTGCCCTTCAGTCACTTGCTTATTGCTGTGGTCAGCTCTCTGCTCTTTATAAGATGCTTTCTTATTCTAGGTCTGCCAAAGACTGATGCCTTAGTTTTGCAACCTATGAAAATGAACCACAGTGATCTTGAGAGAAGGTGGATCTCTGGCAACTTCCTATAAAGCCAACAGGATATAGGGGTATTCACCATTGCACAGGATCTGGTGTATACATTTTAAAGATATGTTGCTTGTAGGAGAAAACAGCATGCATGGTCTAATGGGGACAGCATCTGAGCACATCTGCAGCATGGCATACAGATGCTGAGATCATTAGACTGTGGCTCTCTGGATGACTTTGGACCAGACACTTCATCTTTCAGGAGCTAAACCCTTATTTGATGTAATCTAGCACTGACATCAACAGAGCTATGATGATTCATGCTAATTTCTCCATCTCCAAAATGGGTTGACATACTTACCTACCTTTTAGGAATGCAGCAGAGTTTCAGTCATTGATATTTATAAAGACAAATTTTTGCTACTTATGTGGCCTTTCCAGCAGCCTTTTTCCCCATGGTACCCAAGCCAGATTCTTTTTGTATTGTAGTCTGTCTCTGGAGACCTTTGATTAGTTCTGTAAATAATACTTTCCCACTATGTGAACTTTGTCTTTTTTGTCCTGTTTTGCAGAAGCTAAACAGACCCTGCAGATGTTCATCAGCCACATTCAGGCAACAGTCACAGACCCAGAGAAGGTGCAGGGAAGGCTGAACAAGGAAGACAAGGTATGGTGCAGAGCTTATATTGTGAGGACGATTCTCAGCACAGCTTAGACCTGCTTGCCTGATTCTGAGTCAGTGTATGGGTCCTAGTGCCATCACATTTTTCAGAAAGGCTCCCCCACCAGAGCAAAGATGCTCAGAGATGGTTTTTATGGGGAACTGATCACCATGTTAATAATAATGCTTTGATATCTTTGGGGAGAAGGTGCCATATGTGCACAAAGGGGTTTAGGAATTGAGCCTTGCATTGCTTAATTCCTGTGAGAGTATGGAGACAATGATCCATGAGTCACAATGTCAATACAATACAGCTCAGTTTGGTTGGCAGGAGACTGATGAGGCCCTCATCAGTCACATAATAAATTTTACACTGCATGATTCTTGCAAAAGAGCTCTGCACCTCACATTCCTTTCCAGTGTCTCTGTGTTTATGGGTCCTGAAGAGACTTGTGCCAAGTTCTCCTAGATCCAAGAGCACAGAAGGAGTTAATGCTGGAGTCTGGGTGAGATCTTGGGAGTTCCTAGCGTCCAGTCCTGTGCTCTGACCACTAGTCCATACCTACCTCTGTAATTAACTCATACAAGTTAACTCATAATCAATGTGCCTTGTTATTGATGACTTACAAGAGAGGCCAGCTTCACTTCCAGAAGGCCAGTGTTGTCCCCCTCCTTGGTTTATGGGGGGTTTAGAAACTCGGGTGTCTCAGGAAGCAGAGCTGCATTATTACCTGTGTTTTTGGTTAGATGTGCCATCTGTTTAAAGCAACTGGTTTTGGGGGCTCTCTCAGTCTGAAGGAGATTTCCTTATTTTCTACAGAATGCCTCTCTCAGTGCCTGTCGTGCAAAATCTGACTGGCTCAACAGCACCAAGGAGGCCACCAGGCAGGACTTTCTGGCTCAGAAGCAGGAGCTGGAAGATAAAATGCTTCCCATCTTCACTAAAATGGCCACACCCCGTGAGTATGGGGACTATTGGGTAGACACACCATGGATTAATAAAGGGGCAAAATGATACTTTCTGCTTTGTTTACAGTTCCTTTCTTAATAATCCCTAACATTTTTGTTTGCCTTTTTGATGGCTGCTGAATACTGAGCTGATGTTTTTAGTGAACTGTCCACAACGACTCCCAGATCTTTCCTGTGTGGTACCAGCTAATGTAGAGCCCACCATAGTGTAGGTATAATTTGGATTTATTTTGCCCAGGTGCATCAGCTTACACTTATCTGCATCGAATTTCATCTGCCATGTAGCGGCCCATTTGCTCAATTGTGACAGATTCTTCTGTAGCTCCTCACAGTCTCAGTGCATCTTCACTTTACCACTTTAAATAAGCGGTCAGCAAATCTGGCCATCTCATTACCCACCACCCTTTTCCAGCTCATTTACGAATGTTAAACAACACTTGTCCCAATATAGAGTCCTGGGGGACCTCATTGTTTATGGACTCAATATCCCGTCCATTTAGGGTAGCTTTGTGCTAATCTCCAGCCCCTGCTGATTGGACAGTGGGGAGTGAGGAAGACAGATATATATAAATAAATAAGGATATTTGTGGTTGATATCTTTTACTGGACAAAATGCATTGTTGGGGGATAGTTAGACAAACTTTTAAACACAAAATATCCAGACCTGAGTATCTTGTGCCTGAAAGCTTGTCTAAATGTCTCCCAGCCATGCAATTGGTCCAATAAAAGATATCACTCACAAAGATCTTTGCCTCTCGCATGTTTCCTGGACCATCATGGTTACATGACTCCAATATTATCATATAAACAAGTTTATGATAAGGCACCACAGAGGTGGATAATGATTACAAACAACTGTAGAGAGAGACAAATCTTAGGTGGGAAAAAATGAATTTATGGAGTTATTCACTGCTGAGTTAGGAAAGACATACTAGAGTCCTGGGTGCGTCCTAAGAACTTTCAGGGGCTCCTTTCCTCCCATTATTTCATGCAGTCCTGAATTTCCTAGCCTTCCCTTTCCATCGCCCCATAATATTTATGCATATTTCTCCTCACTACCTCTTGCTCTTTATTGTTTCCACACTCCCAAGCCTTAACACCCTGTGCTCACTCTAAAGCCTCTCTTTCTTGGCTCCTGCATTCATGCTTTTCCAGCTCTCTCATGGTAGGTATGCAGTACCCAACCCCTAACTTCCCCAATGCCCTGCCTAACACCAAGCTGAGTCTTGTTTAATTGCTCCTATTACCACACTTCACCTCTCTCTGCATGCTCTGCTTACCATCTTAGGCTTCTTGTTCCTCAGCCTTCATAAAACCCTGATGACCTTAACCCTCTCACTCAGAGAGAAACTGTCAGTTGGCAGTCCAAAATCAAGCAGAAGGCAGGGTAAAGGTGTAATTCCCTACTCAGCCACCATTTCCTGGCTCTTCCTGTCCTTGCCAGAGAGGACTGTACATCACAAGGGCTGAGGAGGCAGATTCTGATGAAGTTGCTTATGCACATGTAAGCTATTCTCGGGCTCCCCACTAGAAACCAAAGAAAATCTCTGAACACCAACTGTTAACAGGAATTAAGCCGCAGAGTAAGTAGCTGTGAGTGCATGGTGAAACGCCTGCAAGGACCTAGCAGTGCTGGGATTCTATAGCTTTGATTAGGAAGGGACATGAGGCATGGCCATTAAGGATTGCTCTTAAGAGCATGTGGGTCTCTGTGGTAGCCTCAGTGTCTGGTAATAATACTGGCCATTTACTCATGTCCCTCTGTTGCAAAATACTGTCCTTTGCCATATGCATCAATGGATCAGTGACTAGAGAAGAGGTGATAGTGAAGCAATAAAAATCACTTTGAAATCTGCTTTATTTCAGGTCTTCCAACTGCAAAGAATGTTAAATCTTCAGTAAGCAGCAGCAGAATCTGATGTCACATTTTTCCAGAGCCCGTTAATCTCAGGTCTCACTTTTTTTTTAAATGTCACACACAAATCCTCATTAATCTGAATTTAAAGAGAGGGGATGGTCACTCAGAACCAAACCCCAAGTGCTAAGCTCTGGGTTTACAGGCATACTACACTGCAGCAAGGTCCAGCTGTGATCAGTATCTCAATGCTGAGCTGGCAACATAGTCTTAAGGTTCATAAAAAGTTAGATTAGGTGCTGGCTCTCTATAGAGATTGGGTCAGAGGTAATTTCCATTCCAGTTGGTTCAGTTAAATGACACTGTTATTGTGACAGGGGTGTAGGTTGTAGCCGTGTTGGTCTAAGGACATAGGCAGACAAGGTTCCTTGGGTGAATTTGATATCTTTTATTAGACCAACCCAAATAGTTGGAGAATAGTTATTAAGCAAGCTTTCGAGTTCAAAAACCCTTCGTCAGGCTAAGGACTGTTGTTATTGTGACAAGCTTTAAAAGTAGAGGAAAAAAGGCAGCCTCTTCAGGACTCTGTCACTCATGATCACTTTAGCATCACAGTAATTTAGGGTGCTCCCATTGCCTCCAACAGAGGCGTCCCTTTGCAGGGGAGGACCTTCCTTCATAATAGCAGACTTGCAAGACAATAAAACCTAAGTGCAGAGTTGCATAACATCACTGATTCCTATTCATAATGCAATTCCTATTCTCAAATCAGACTGTTGTTTTTCTCTCTGCTTGATGGTGTGTCAGGTGCAGCCCTTGTCCTTGGTGGCATAATCTACCAATGGTAACATATTCTGAACGGGGATGGAGAAAGCACAGCTACACTCATGGGCTTTCAGGCTCTGGGGCCTGGGAGCATGGTGACCTCGCCTTGTGGGGTCTGCTCCCTTTTGGGGTCTCTGGCGTGCCAGCTGGAGGAGCTCCAGGCCACAGTCCAGAGACTGCGTACCATCAGGGACTGCGAGCAGGAGATAGACTCCTACTGCCAGGCCCTTCTCCCCCGGGAGGCAGAGGGTAGACCACAGTCCCCCTCCACGCCAAAGGAGGACTTTGGGACCTCCTGCTGTGTCCAGCCAGGGGCATGGACCACGGT